AACAAACCCTAATTTATATTAAGGACTTTTTAAAGCTTACATTCCTGTTAGAAACTTGCTTAAGAATAAAGATGTGTCCCATTTGCGAACTACAGTGTCTTTAAGATAATGATTTTGCATTTGCAACTTCTTCTAATGATAATAGAGCTCTGGTTCTTACTGATGTTCACTCTCATAGGCAGAGCACCAAAGTGTTCTGAGGTAGCCTGACACCATGCATGGGGTACAATTACATGACCTAAAGTGATCAGAGTGTGGCCTGGTTGGAGAAAATATATAAGTACGGTGTGTGCTTTGTCCCTTTGCCCAGGATTGCTCATCTCTCATGATAGTAAATGTTGCCCAGTTGCAGAGAGGCTAGAACAAAACTGAACAAGTTCCCAGAGGCATGCCTTTTCTGAATCACTTCATTTGAAGGTTGGGTACTTACTAATTACTCTGAACCTTACATGCCAAGAAATAACAATGCAGCCCAGGGACAAACTCCACACTAGAGAAGGATTGTCGTCTGCTTTCATTGCATTTCAGCAATTAGTTTCAGCCTATGCAAATATTTCTGAAATATTTCAGTTATGAAAAATGAACTGACTTATCAGTTGTAGTAAAGGCAGTAAAATTGAATATACTGTTTGCTTTTTTATATGTTCCTCTATTTAGCAAGTGGTACATAAGCCATGTAATTTTATTAGTCCATATTGTATTATAAACAGACAATTCATGTGAACCTTAAAAGGTTTATATCTTTCTTTATTTGGACTCTAAGTTTGTTGGAACTAAAAAAAAAAAAAAAAAGCATGTTTTCCAGTTATATTTCTGGTTGAGTAGGGGAATGGGAAGCAATGACTATAGGAATCTATGAGATCTAGAGTTACCAGATTGGCTGTTATATATGAAACATTAAATCAGCATCTAAATTTTTTCTCATGTGACAAATTTAGCTGATATTGACAAGTACATGCCTAAAATTGATTTGATTCAACACGGATAAAATTATACGTATATACACGTATATATATGTATAACTGAATCACTTTGCTGTACACTTGAAACTAATACAACATTGTAAATGAGCTATAATTTAAAAAAATGGAAAAATAAGAAAATTTAAAAAGAAAAGCTTTCTTAAAAATTCAAAGTTAGAAAGGATAAAATGAAAATAAAAAATGCTCAGAGACAGCAATTCCTTGACCTGAACCTATCCATGATTTTACTGCCACTCTAATACTTTTCAGTTTACTAATCCCAAAGGGATATACAAGGCCCAGCAACGACAAATTTCATGTCTTTTTGGCTCCCTCTTGTGGCTGAACTCTATATTAACTTCTTACCTATAAACAGATTCCTAACAATTCTAACAAAGATAAAAACTAATGTTTTCATTTTTACTTCAGTGCTGTTGGTGTTTTATTTTTATCTGAAAAGTTAAAAGCATGCCTTTGTAATATATACAACAAACTATTTCAAAGAGCAAAAAACAATATAGTAGAAAATAATTCCTCTAAGCAAAGGGTAAATTAAGTATTCCTTATCCAAAAAAGAGACTTAGGGAGTAATTTTATTAAGAGTTATTTGTAGATTGTCATAACAAACCTCTCTCATAAAATTCTGATTAAAAATTTTGTTGAGGGCACTGGGGCTTTTTCTATGAACCTTTTAAGAAACGTTAACAGATTCTTATTAGATTGAATAACTAGGTCAAAGGCAGGGAAATGGACCAAGACGATCTGTATGAATCTTTTCAAACATTACTATTCCCTATTTCCTACTTTTTTCTTTGTTTAAGTGCAACAGACTGTTAGTGGATTTTAGTTTATTTGTTTTATTTTTGTTGTTTTGGTCTTGGTTTCTATAATCAATAATCTCTATTGAAAAAAAAGGGACACTTGTTTTTCTATAAGTTCCCACTTTGGAGCTTTTTTATTTTGCATATAACTCATTTCCACTTGAAAATGTTATTTGATCTCATATAAGGAAAAGAAACCTCAAACTTACAAAGAATCATTTCCATAGACGTCACTTTTTTTGTTCTGTGACAAATAATAAAATTGTTCAAGAGGAAGCTTTCTGAAAAGAAAGAAAAGATTAAATTGAACATCTTTTTAATAACACAGTGTAATGGTGAGATAGTAAAAGATAAAAATAGACTAATACAACGATGTATATATGGTAATTCAGTATATGAAAAGATGGCATTTTAAATCAGTGGAAAGAGTTTACTTTTCAATAAACAGTGCAGGAGAAATTCACTAGCCATTTGGAAAAAAGATTTTTATTTCATATTACTCACAGAGATAATTTCAGATGAATTAAAAATCTAAAGAATTAGGGAAAAGCATACAAATATTAAAAGAAAATATACAAGAATATGTTTTTTTCTTAGTGGTAGGGAAAACATTTTAAATAAGATTTTAAAAAAGTCAAAAATCAAAAGGAAGTTTGATAACATCAAGTGAAAAACTTCTGAAGACAAGACAGCATAAAAAAGCTCAAATAAAACAAAGATTGGAAGAAATGTTTACAATAAAGATACATAAGGGATTAATATCCAGAACATAAAGAACCAATAAGAATCTATAACTAAAAGACAAGCAATAAAAATGGGCAAAGAATAAGAACAGAAAAGGAAATATAAACGGTCATACATAAGAAAACATAAACGTAAGAAAAAAAGTACTTAACCTAATCAGAGAAATGCATTCTGATAACCATGATAACATTTTTATTCATTAGATAGGCAAAAATTATACAGTTTGATAATATAATACAATTGGCCAATAATATGGTGAAATGGATACTTTTAGACAATACCATGAGAATATAAAGTATTTGGGCTATATCTACTAAAATTAAAAATATTCATATATTGTGACCCATAACTTCGACTTAGGATTTTCCCTAGAGAAACATTCATTTGTGTATTGAGCTCAAGGAGGCCTGTACAAAGATATTTATTACATTCAATTAATACAAAAGAAAAAAAATACAAGAATGGCTAAATAATCTGATGTATCCATATTGTGGAACACTGTGAGAAATTAAAAAGAATGAGATAGATTGTATTTACAATCTTTAGATTGCAGTTTTAGGTTCACAACAAAGTTGAGGAAGGTAGAGAAATTCCCAAACACCCTTTACCCTGCACATGCTTATCCTCCCGCATTATCAACACCTCCCACCAGAGTGGTACCTTTGCTAGGACTGATGAACCTCCACTGACACATCATTATCACCTGAAGTCCATAGTTTACATTATCCTTCACTCTTGGAGCTTGTGATGTTTTTTTGTTGTTGTTGTTTTTTGCGGTACGTGGGCCTCTCACTGTTGTGGCCTCTCCCGTTGCGGAGCACAGGCTCTGGACGCGCAGGCTCAGCGGCCATGGCTCACAGGCCCAGCTGCTCCGCGGCATGTGGAATCTTCCTGGACCGGGGCACGAACCCATGTCCCCTGCATCAGCAGGCGTACTCTCAACCACCGCGCCACCAGGGAAGTCTGTAATGTTTTAATATATATTGTAGTGCTGAACTGTTCCTTGCTGCTCAATATCTTTTGAACACCCACCCTGTATCTCATCTACCCAATGTAGATTCCAAAAAACTTGCTTTCTCAGCCTTTGAGATTGGCCCTAAAGTATGAGGGTTATTCATACCCCACAAGAACGCTCACCAACAGAACCCCACACTGAGGATGTTTGTAATTAGATAGATAATATGATCAAGTCTGTGGGCATCAGCCAGGTTTTCTCCAGTCACCCTGGTGCTTGCTCAGTGGCTTCATAAACTAAATTATCATGGGGGCAGGGGCAGAAGTTCTTATTTATGGACTCAGCAACATGACCTCATCAAAACTGACCTGGCCACATGTGAGTTTACCAGCAGAAGTTACCAACCCTAAGTAATTCATAGAGAAAAATCTCTCTGGGTATACTGGTCAGCCACCTGGTGGGAGGTTGATTACATTCAACCCCTTCCATCTTGAAAGACGATTTATCCTCACAGGACACTTCTAATTATGGATTTCCCTTTCCTCCTCACTTCACTTCTGCCAGTTACATCATCGGTGGAATGTAACAGAATGCCTTATTCACTGCATGCCATCGTAAACAATATTACTCTTGACTAAGGAACTCAATTTATCACACAAAAAATAAGGCAGTGGTTGGATTTAAGGGTTCACTGGCCTTGTCATATTTACAGAATGGTAGCATAGCCTATTGACAATTCAGCTATGGCTGAATGTTATCCTGAAGTGTGGCACATGCTGTGAAGCGGTGACTAATAAATAGTTTCCCCCATAGCCAGAATGCATGGTCTAAAAAGCAATGGGGGGAAGTGGGAGTGATGCCCCTCACTCTTATTATTACACTCGAGGAAATCTTTACTTTCTCCCCAGCCACCTTGGGCTTTGCTGGTTTAGAGGTTAAGGGAGAAATGCTTCCATCAGACGACACAACAATGGTCCCGTTGAACTGGAAGCTGAACTGATGAGGTCGTAATCTTGGGCTCCTTATGATTCTGGAGAAAACAGCCAAGAAAGAATTATTCCAAGTAGGCTGGGATGATTGATCCTAAATATCAAGGGTAAGAGGATTGCTGCTATACCATGCTGGGGGAAAGGAGTATTTCTAGAACCTAAAGCATCTTTTGGACACCTCCTAGCATAGCTTCCAGTGGCATAAAATTAATAGAATACTGTAGTATTCTATTACTGCACACAGGCAGAACCACTAAGAGCTTAGATCTCTCAGGAACAAATTTGGGGCTGCCCCACAAGGTAATGAATTCCTACTAGCTAAGAGCAAGGGAACTTGAAATGGGTAGTGGGGGAAGGAAATTATAACACCAATAATAGCCTCATGACCAGCTGTAGACTGCAGTCACTTCCCATATTTCCTTCCTTGCTATGTCCTGTATACATACATATATATATGTATATACATATATATATATATAAAACTTTTCTTTATTTCCTCTCCCTTTTCCTTATTATTTCATATAGGGTGTGTTGGCGATGGTTTACTTTATTTAATGACTAAATGTGGACTATCAGGACAATATTATGACTGAAATAGAGAGGAGTGACCATCACCAAGTGATCCTGGACTTGGAGCTGGATGCAGGAACTGATGAGACTTTGGATCTCCCCTTTTGGGGAGGTGAGTGCATTTTCATTTGTATGAAAAATGTTGCATTTTCTTACACTGGAGCAGCAATTCTCAAACTATGCTGCACGTTAGAATTACCTGAGGGATTTTATTAAAATGCATATTCTGTTTCAGTAAATCTGGGATGGGGTCCCAGATTTTGCATTCACCATTTCCTAGGTGATGCTCATGCTGCTGGTCCATGGACCACTCGTTCAATAGAAAAGCACGTTACTGTTGTTGCTGCTATTGTATAAAGTGACAGTCAGCTGGCACTGATGGCTATCTAACATCTTTACCATATCCTCTGTACATTTTGCTAGCTTCCCACATTTTGAACACCCCACTGCCCTAGGTAGCATCCAGAAAATCCACTTCCCAGCCTCCCTAGCAACCAGGGTGCAAATGTGTACCCTAAGTTCTGCTGTCATCCACATCTGCACTAGACTTTGATTTGAATATGAGTAGCCCCAGAACATGGGCTTCAAGTGGGGCATCCATATTGCTCATAAGGTAGAATCAGAGGTGTCCACTTTTAGCAGAGGCACTTCCCTGGATGAGGCCAGTCCTGGGAATGAGTCTGGCTATTATTTCTGGAAGCTTAGCAATTAGCCTATTTCTCTAGCCCTCCTACAGTTTTGTGAGTTGACCTATTATCCTCTAATAACCTCTTCTTAAATGAGCCGGAATGGATTCTGTTATTTGCAACTAAAAATCCTAATGCATACAAATGAATAAGTTGTACAATTAAAATTTAATTTAAAAAAAGGGACTTCCCTGGTGGTGCAGTGGTTAAGAATCTGCCTGCCAATGCAAGGGACACGGGTTCGAGCCCTGGTCTGGGAAGATACCACATGCCGCCGAGCAACTAAGCCTGTGCGCCACAACTACTGAGCCTGTGCTCTAGAGCTCACGAGCCACAACTACTGAGCCCGCGTGCCACAACTACTGAAGCCCGCACGCCTAGAGCTCGTGCTCTGCAACAAGAGAAGTCACCAAAATGAGAAGCCCGCGCACCACAACAAGGAGTAGCCCCCGCTCGCCGCTAGAGAAAGCCCGCGAGCAGCAACGAACACCCAACGCAGCCAAAAATAAATAAATAAATAAATTGATTTTAAAAATTCATTAAAAAAAAAAGAGAGGAGTGAGAGAAAGAACAAAAGTAGTTTTATTAGAAACATGAACTTTAAAAAAAGCAAATGTAATTTGGTCTAAATGAGATAATGTCTGTAAAACACTTAGCACAATGTGTGGTATATAAAAGTTCTTGATTAATGCTGCTGTTTAAAAAAGATATTTTCTTATTTTTATGGAAATGGCACATCCTTATTATAAACATTTCAGTAAGTACAAAAAAAGCACAAGTAACCTCATGTAGAACATGATTCTAGATATCTCTCTAAAAAATAGATGTAAAGAAGTAAGGAACAGAGAGATGGACAGCTCTAGTCAGAACTAAAGATTCAAGAATTGGATCAAAGTTCATGAAATTTCTAAAAGAAAATTAAATTTTTTTTTTGTTTTCTGGCCGTGCCATGTGGATTACGAGATATTAGTTCCCCAACAGGGATTGAACCTGGGCCCTCAGCAGTTACAGCATGGAGTCCTAACCACTGGACCACCAGGGAATTCCCTAAATATTTTAAATTTTATTAGCATCTAACAGATGAAAAGGTAAACCTGAAGGAATTCCTGAACTATAGATAAATATGTCTTTATTACATAGATATAATTTTATACAGATATTTTAGAAATTTAGGAAAAAGTTTTTGAAACATTTAGGATTTTGGAATCATTATCATTTTTTAGATAATATTGACTCTCAGGCATGAAAGATAAGATGATAAACCCAGTTTCACTCACTTCTGTTTCCTTTCCCTGATCTCCCCACTTTGGTTGTTTATATAATCTGTACTTTGCCAGGGCTTATAACATTATTGTAGAACACTGGTTCTACAATAATAATTTTCCCTCTACAGGGGAAAATTCCCACTCCTTCCAGTCAGGGAAGTGCCCATACCCAGGGGCTTCTGCTCATTCCCTGAAGTCATCACTGCATTCCGGAAGAGCACACATTCTGCAGAGCTTCATCTCTCTTGAAATCTTGCTGTTTTAAAATAGGGGCTTTTTGAGGCTTTTTTTCTACTCTTGAGGCTTTTTCTTTTCTAATAGGATTATCTACTCAATCTTTTAATCTCTTCAAATTGGAGAATTAGCAGATTTTGTAGACTCACCTTGCCTCAATATGCATTTGGAATGTAGGGGTGGGGGTAGGTATAATGCCTCTCAACCAATAGTGTGGCTTCCCCCTGTACTCCCAACACTTGCAGGGAGAGTTTGAAAACATGTGTAGGTGGTTTCATTTTGGTTGTCACAATGAATGCAAGATGCTACCGGTATTTATAGGTAAGGGGCCAAAGATGCTAAATATCTTGCAATGTGTGCGACAAAGAACTGCCCTGTCCAAAATGCTGTCTTGAGAAACACTTAGGAACTGGAATAAACTACACAGAATTATCTTTCCTTGGCACATTAAAATTAATGGCATAATTTTATGGCATCCTTTTATTGTTTGGGGGCTGCTGGTAAATTTTGTATTCGTTTCATTTTTTTAGGCGATAGGAGTGGGATATTCTGTGATCCTATTCCCCATGGGGAGTGGGGTGAGTTGTATCACAACACCCACCAAAAATCTCCTCCGGGGAAGGTGACAGGGTGTGGTTATGAGAACAAGCTTTTACATGGGCCAGAGGAGGCTTGACCCGTCAGAGAACTGAAAAATACTCTGTTAGTTTGTTTAAAAGGCTCTTCTTGGGGAAAAAGAAAAATATTGTGATAGAAGTTATTCCCTGTTAGGAAATAAGATAAAACCTATTCTGTAGTTGTTTGCCAAGTGATTTACATTGTATCAGAAGATATTTATACTTTGTCTTAAATATATTTTTAAGAGATAAATATGCCAAAATGATAACATTTAACATAAAAGGGTGTGAAGAGAATCTGAATACATTAGCCTGCATTTCTGAATCAGGGATGGCTGACATTTTAATTGGAACAAATATTTCCTCTCCCAGTATCCTAGGGCTACATTCAATAAGATACTAAACACAAACCTCTCATTTCAAGCTGGGTTTCCCTTAAGAAGCTAGTCTTTTGCTTTCTTTTTACACACTGGAATTCTGTGAGTATACTTGTAATTCTTTTAGAATATTGTGCATTTTTTTAATATACAGATTTTGGGGACCAGGGCTGTAAACTCCCTAAGGAGCTATACCCCTAATCTCTAGACCAATGCTTGCTATACTCAAATTACTGAATAAATGAATAGCTGGAATAAGCGAATGAATGAATAGGTGAAAAGAATGTGGGATTTGGAGTTAAATAAAACTGGACTCAAATCCCTGTTCTGAAACTTCATAGTTGTCTGACCCAAGGAGAGGTAATGAATCTCTTGGGTCTCTATTTATTGTAAAACCAGGATAACAATATCTACTTTACAAAGATACCATAAATCTATATTATATTAGAAAGTAAGTTCCATGAGACTGGGGGCTTAAACAAATCTGTTGGATGAATTAATGAACTTGAAGTCCTATCTATAATGTGTCAATATTTGCATCTTTCCAATTGGACCTTTCATTTGTCTGCTTTTTATTGCTTTATTGAGGCTTTCCATAAGGCTGCCACATGTCCCTATTGTTACTGTTTTTTTCTCTAGCTGTGGCTTGTCTTTCCTGATTTATTTCTTTTAATCTAGTTAGCTAGATTGTTAGTACACTGGGTAACCAGGATTGGATAAAGCAGGAATAACCAGGCTGTGTGTGGAGAAGGTGTGATGGATTTTGCTTTGAGTAAATTTCATACTTCTTAATGTGACATCTAATTTACTGCTCAGATTTTTTTTGTGCTTTCTCTTCAGTTTTAACCTGTACTTTGAATAAAGTTGCTGAAAGGGTAACTTTAAGACTTATAAATGATGACTGAAATATTTTAATACTTGAAAACAATGCCCAGTAGATTCTAATTGATAAACAAATTAGAAATCAAAAGTTAAGAACATCTGGGTGACTTCCCTGGTGGTCCAGTGGTTAAGAATCTGCCTTCCAATGCAGGGGACGTGGTTCCATCCCTGGTCGGGGAACTAAGATCCTACATGCTGCGGGGCAACTACTGAGCCCGCGAACCACAACTAAGACCCAATGCAGCCAAATACATAAATTAATTAATAAAAAATATTTTTTAAAAAAGTCAAGAACATCTGTAAAATTAGGCCAGCTATTTGCTCAAGCCAAAAAAATAATAATAATTTAATCTCTCTCAGGAGCCTTCCTATTTAGTTTTAGATAAAATGTGATTAGCAAGGGAATTAAATTCATCAAAATTTCTGATCACATACTTAAACATCTCTAAGGAAAGCAAAGTCATTTATAACATTTTTTACTGACTTCACAATTAGAAATTTTTTAATTTCCCATCTGTGTTCCCATCTGTGTCTTTTCATAAACAGTAAAAGTTTGGAAGTAGATTTAAGTTAACAAAGGACTCACAATAGAAATATAGATAATCGAATAATAATGACCTCTGTGTGAGGGACTGGAAGTTTATTTACCTTGGCCAGGTTTCTCCACCAAATCCATAATGCTGGTGTCCTTTGCCCATGACACGAGGAGGTTCACATTTTGGCCTGTGTTCCTCAGGGAGTGAAATGGGTATTATGCCACCATATTCCCTTTCAGCGCCCCACGGAAGCCTACATCGTTAGAGTGACTCCCTTAATTCCTGATACTGGGAAAATAGAGAGACTTTTGAAATAGCTTCAGCATGGAATGCTATGGTCTGAATGTTTGTGTCCCCCCAAATTTATATGTTTAAATCCTAATGCCCAGTGTGATGATATAAGAAGGTGGGACCTTCAGGAAGTGCCTAGGTCATGAGGAGCCCTCATGAATGGGACTAGCGCTCTTGTAAGAGAGACTCCCAAGGGCTTGCTAGGCTCTTCTACCATGTGAGGA